ACGAATAATATTTTTATTTTTATATACCGCGTTACTATTGAAATAAAGGAACGGTGAGAGCCTTTTTTAAAAATGGAACTAAGAACGGGATCAAGTTTTTTTTTTGCAGCAGAAGCGAGGGATGGCAACGAAATATTTTTTTAATATAATTTTACCAAAATCGATTTATACCAATACTAATGAATTGTGTTTATTAAATTTTTAATACCGTATTATTATTATACAAACAAAGAACATATCAATATTATGGTTGTGTTGAAAAATTTCAAAAAGTTTTTTATAATATTACGAGTATTATAATTTAAAGTCCGCTGCGCGATTAGCGTCTTTCCGGTTTAAGAGAACTTTTTCTTCCTCGTACGTGGTCGAATCGTTCACTGAACCCATTAGGCCACATATAACGACTACATAGTTTATATCGGAGCTAAGGTGTAAATTACGATACCGTTCAACTACACACCAGCGCAATGTCGTCAATACCGATTAAACGACAACGCCATCATCACAACGAATTGCCTATAGTGATTGTATCTAATGGTTGTGTATTATCGTTTATGATGGTAGAAAGCTACTAAAGGATAGCATGTTATAAAAATAAAAACTACGTCGTAAACCTAGTAAACATAGCCGAACAACTGCAGCAAACTCTTTGTAAACAATTTTGTGTTTTTTTCCGCCAACCATCGCAAAGAGCCCAACTCACCAATCGCGTCACACACTCCTCGCTCTACCTCTCACTCTCACCCTCTCTCTCTCTCTCACTCCTTCTCTCTCTCTTTCTGTTCATTTTGTTCCCGAACTAGGACAAAACCTTCATGAGATTTTTTTTTTATGGTTTTTTTTTCCCCCATTCTTTAAAGTTTCATTTTTTCTCTGTAATTTGTTTTCCAATTACCTGCGCAAAGAACAGATTTTCACTCCCATTCAGTGCGGCCGCGGCGGAGGTCGAGTTAATGCCTGTCTAGAAGAATCTGTCTAGAAAAACGTTATATATTTTAATATCGAATGAAGTGGTTGGGTTTTATTTTTATGTTTTTTTCATGTACTTAAGGTAGTTACACACCTTTGTACATTGGTTCAATCAAAATACAGTAATATTTCCGCAGTAATATAAATTATATTTTTTCCCATACAACAATGAAATATGATGCAGTCATGTTAGGATAACGTTTTCAAAAATATTTAAATATATTTAAAATATAATCAAACATTAATTTTGTATGTAATTTATATCACAAAGATGTTTTAAATTTATGTTCAACAAATTTTGGCAAACAAGATCACATTATTACAACGTGGATTTATAATATTTAAGAAATATTTGCTGTAATATGTTAGAATAATTGTTCCTTCACAATATATTGGAGATACCAATCGATTAAATAGAAAAAGAAAAATATTTATACATAATAATATACGTGTATGAGTAATTTATCAGCCGTATTTTTGAATAATAAAATTATTCCGTATGAAATATGAATAAGAAAATAGATGAAAAAAAAATAAACGGAACAAATTTTGCGATTTGGGCGGCTGTGTAACCCTTACGGAACCGATCGGTGACGGCGACTTATCCGGAAATCGAACTCGGGACACAACTTATCCTAACCTAACCTACCTACCCACTACGATTGTTGTAAACAGACGTCGTTATACGGACATTTAAAGAGGGTATTTCGTATATAATTATCAATTATTTAATGCCAGAAACGGCGTACAACGGTTTCAATGGTGACCGGCGTCTAAACAAACGATAGAGATAGAATTAGGTGAGATTAGATGAGAAGTCAAAGTTATTAAATTCAATCGACGTCATCGTCGTCGTCGATTCCACGTATTTTATTTGATATACAAGGAGAGTAGTGGAGTATCGTTTGTCTGGAGACATGACGCACGCGTCGTTTTATTAGTGCTCCACTGCTATCCACCTCCTTAAATTTAAAAATGGAATATCTCGTTACGAGTTGACGGAAATAAAAAATGTTGGCAGCAAAATTTATACTAAAGTAATACTCCGTCTGTGATATTTTTAGTACAGGTTCTCATTTGAAAAACCAAAGTTGTTATCGCCTAAATATACTACCTAAATGTTATGAAAAATCTAAGTAAATATTAAAAATATCAGCTTTAACGACACTTCAAAATTCCAAATTCGAAATTGACGGCGAGATAACAGGCAAGCGGTCCGCTGTCGCCAGTGAAGTATTTACATCAGTAATGATAAAAATTAACGATAACCGCGATACTAGATGAAACGTCAACAATTTAATTCAGTCATAAGCCTATAAATCACACATCTATTTAACGGAAAAAATGTTACCAGCATTCCAATACATTTTTCCATGTAGTTTCCATATAGACATCTTCATCTCAAAAACAAGTGGTTAAAATTTAGACGAAACCAAATTTTTATAATATTTAAACATCATAAGTTAACATATATTTAATGCATATACCAATAAAATAGTTTCAATATAATTTCTTGAATCATTTATGATTAATATTGAAGTGATATAAATGTATAACATTTTTGTACCGTGAACTTGAAATCCAGTAACTCTTAAAACACATATTATTACTAGGTATAATATTAATATGTTGAAATACAGGATATTAATGCTGCAAAATGCTGTATACCTAATAGTTTTGTAATACGCTTTAATGTTTACTGTTTTTGACGGAGTAAATAACTCAACGGTTTAATTTGTTTTATAAAAGCGAAGTGTTTCACTATTAGAAATTAGATAGTAATAATTAAATACAAGTAGTGAGGGCTGTTATGTATGTACATTCATACATTTTTAACCACTTCCAAATAACCAGCAAAATTGAATTGGTAAAAATATTCGTTGGTGTGCAAGCAATAACTCGTCGATGATTCATTCATTCGACACGAGCTATTCATTTGTTTTTCTCGGTTTTCGGAAAGTTGAAATTTTGTTTCTCGTTCAGAAAAATGTCAAGTTTATAATTGTATACAGAATGATTTTTTTTTTTATCATAAACCAGCAATTATCTCAGAGGATTTAAGTGAATTTGATTTCTGGCTTTATTTTTAATGTTCATCCCTACTGCCTATACCTTAAATAAGTGCATATTTTTGATTTTCTAATATGAACCTCCCCCCTCCTTTTGAACACTGATTTGAATAGAGAATATTTTTTTACAAATTTCGATATGTATCACACTAATATCAGATTTACCGCTTGTGAGTTATAACAGATTAAAGTTTAAACCGGAGGTGTAGGGAAGGGTTATAGATAGGCAATTTATTACTCTTTCCTGTACCTCAGGTCTAAACCTTAATCTACGAATTTAATGAAAATGAAAATTTGATACACCGACATTTTCAGAAGAACAACTTCTATAATACGGCCATCTTCGAATTTTTCAAAAATAATAAAATTAAAAATTATTTTTTAAAGATTTTACGAAAACATAAAAAAATAATTGAAGTATAAATATCTGTAGTCCTTAGCCCTGTGAATAATATAAAAAGAACATAATTTGATTAACTTTATTATTTCCGGAGATATTACGACGGGTGTATCTTCGTGAAACGTCCTGTATAATAATAATTGTGAATAATTATTTAAATCTCGCTAATTTAAATACGGTTCCGTAATTTCCCCGTGTACTTTATTGATTAATTGACATCAGTTTAATTGAGATTAAATTAAACGTCACAAAATATACGAACGTGTCCACCGATGAATTTAGTTATTTGTTCGTTAAACTAGTGACGAGAAATTGGTTTATCGGTAGCTCTAATCGTAACATAATATGCAAACGTAAATTTGTCGTCTTACTAGCAGTTCGTTAAAACGGTTCAACGAATAGCTTTAAGTTTTACCTTGTCATAATATATTGTTTGTTATTTGTATTGAGTTAATACGTGCATAACTGTAATAACAAACAAAATAATACATACAGGGTAATTCACTAAACGCGCTTATCCCATTTGTTTGGTTCAATATTTGCATGTATTCGAATTCTGATTTTTGGAATTTTTAAGAGTAGCTAAAGTTGATATTTTTGAATAATTAGACTTTTCACAACATTTAAGGAATATCAAAAATCCAAAGGAAATCAAAAATATTGACAGCAAAATGTACTCAAAGTAATACTCCGTCTATTTGTGATATTTTTAGTACAGGTTCTCATTTGAAAAACCAAAGTTGTTATCGCCTAAATATACTACCTAAATGTTATGAAAAATCTAAGTAAATATTAAAAATATCAGCTTTAACGACACTTCAAAATTCCAAATTCGAAATTGACGGCGAGATAACAGGCAAGCGGTCCGCTGTCGCCAGTGAAGTATTTACATCAGTAATGATAAAAATTAACGATAACCGCGATACTAGATGAAACGTCAACAATTTAATTCAGTCATAAGCCCATAAATCACACATCTGTTTAACGGAAAAAATGTTATATTTTTAATATAGGCTCCCGTTTGAAAAACCAAAGTTGGTATTGCCACACGATACTCCTTAAATGTTGTGAAATATCTGATTATTCAAAAATATCGGCTGGCTCCAACTCCACTCAAAAATTCCAAAAATCAGAATTTGAATATTTCTAAAATGTAACCAAAAAAATGGATTGAGCTCCCTTAATGAATCATTATGTACATTATAATTAAAGACCAGATTCAATTGACATTGCAACTTTTTTTGCAATAAAGATAAATCAGACCTGATTAAATATATAGCCGATATATATACTTCAAATATTCTGCATATTTTCGACGTTTTTGCAATTCTTTGCAATTTTCCCACGTTTTTAAATCATATGCGTTTATTGTTCGTCTGGAATTTTCTAGAAGCCTGGAGAGCCCTGCGAGCGACAAACGTCTATATGTATGTATATATATATATATATGGTGGTAATTAAATTCAACGTAGTAGTACAGCGATTCGTGTGCGTTTACCTGTTGGTACCTCAGTGCCTATTTCTTTGATCAGTTTGACCGCACAGTGAACATATTCGACATAATGCCTAAAATAAAATCAACTTTAGGAAGTAAAATTTCGAATTGGATTGCTCTTTACAATGAAAACAAAGAAGTATTTTCATCAGACGGAAAGGTTACATATTGTCTCGTATGTAACAAATCTGTGTCTACTGAAAATCAATTTCTATTGGATCGTCATTCCAAAACAAGTGAGTTTTGTATTTTATGCTCATACTACACGTATTATACTACATATTATTTCAAAAATACGCGTATATTTTTTTTAGTTCAACACATAAATGCATTACAGAGAAATAAAGAAAAAAACAGCTTTTGATTACTTTTCAAAATTCCCATGGTAAAAATTTATATTTTGAAGATTAATATAATGCATTTGTTGCTGTAAATATTCCTTTGCATAAGCTGGGCAATCGTGTGTTAAAAATTTTTTTGGAAAAACACTACTGGCGAATCAACTCCGGACGAAAGCACTTTAAGAAAAAATTACGTACCAAATATTTATAAAAGCGTTATGGACTAAATAATTACGTTTACATAATTATTTGCGAAACAATCGATCCAAGAAGTCTGTATAAATAATTTTTTTAATTTATCATATAATAAAATATACGTTTTTCGTTTTAGGTTTGGCTATTGCAAATGTATTGTTAAATTAGATGAGACGCCTAATAAATCATATTTAGTTGCACGTAAAGAACTAGACTCCACCAATTATGTAACTATTTGTCAGTTTAATAATTTCTCGTTAAAAATATTTCCTGGTATTTAACAAAAAGTAATACTTTTTATTAGTAATGCTGGTACTTATATGATAAAAGCAGCAAAAACATTAAAAATATTTTTCCCGAAATTAATTCATTTTACATGTATGGCGCACGCAGTTAATAGAGTTCTAGAGAAAATTCGAGAATTGTATCACGACATTAATAAATTGATTAACATTGGTAATATATTAAGCACCTATTTAAAATTTAAATATATATTTAACTTATTTCGTTTATTTCAGGAAAAAAATCTTTCCTAAAAGCACTACCGAGAATAAATAAATACAGAAAATAAATGTCGGGTATACCTTTACCACCCGAACCTATTATTACAAGATGGGGAACATGTTTAAATGAGTTTAAAAAAGTGATTGCAAATTTAACAGATAATGCTACAAGTGTAGAAAAGCTGAAACAGCTTGTACAAAATAATGCAGTCAAATGTGGTTTAGCGTTCATAAAATTACACTTATCCGAGTTTATCCATGAATCTTAAAGATTTGGAAGAATCTAATAGTGAACTACTGAAAAACATGGATATTTTTAGAAAAATTGAAGATTTTTTAAAAAATATCCCTGATTTAAATGGGAAAAAAATTAAAGAAAAATGTGTGTATGTAATTGAAAAAAATAAAGGGTATAAAACTTTAATGTCTTACTATGAAGTCATGTCAGGTAAAGCACATGTTAATTTAGATATAATGCCTACTTTATTAAACTGTCTTAAATATGCCCCAATAACTAGTGTAGACGTAGAACGTAGTCTTTCTTTGTGCAAACATATTTTAAGTTATAGAAAATTTAATTTTAATGATATTTTCATTTAGAAATTGTGTCTAATTATAAATTTTAATTTTAAAAAAGTAACATTTATTTTATTTTTTTTATATAACTTTTGCATTTTTATAGTGCAATTTATTATGCAATTTTTACGTATTATTGGTGCAGTTATATAATTTTAAAATGCAATTTTCGTGTGTTTTAAATGCAATTAAATCCATTTATAATCGATTTTTCCATGGTGCCGTTTTTGAGCGAGTTTTAAAATTTGAAACCCTGCGTTTTAGAATGAACCACACGTTTATATTTTTTACCTATTTGATAAACACTAGGTAAGTATTATATTAGACGTTAATAATGCAATACATTGCATATGATTCTGTAGTGTACTTATATACAGTATACTTAACGAATTATTATTAATAATAATAATAAAGCAACAAAAAAGCTCGCTCATAATCTCCCATCGGTCTCATCCATCGGGTCCTAGGTATCGATTTGTATTTCACCGGGCAGAATAGTGTTTAATTTATACTCGGGAACAGGTACCTGCATTAATAAGACAATATTATCACTTTCAAAAGTTTATTTTGATTTAGTATGGTGCACACAAGTGGCTCCAATGGTAAATAAATATATCTACCTACCCACCTATTGTATTCTAAAGAGGTGAGTTGTAAATACTCGTACTAGTTAGAAAACAGTTTGGTGTTATTGATCACAATATAATATAGTGTAAATATTAGTTTCGCCGGGTACGACAACTGAGGTTAATTTATTTTATGGTTTTACTTAACATTAAATTGATAATCTATATTGCATCGCAACTCGTACAACTACACTGATTGCAGTTTAAAATATTAAAGTTTTGTCATGCTATTTTCGGTCTTTACGTAGGTAAATTATGATTTTTCTGAGACCATAAAATGACGTGCTACATCCGTATTTAAGGGGTTGCGTATAGACAATTTTCTTTGAATTTTTGAAAAAATGAAATTTTATCTACTCGGACATATCCAAATTAATTTTCAAACAAATTTGAATTTGTCCCATATTATCATTCACCCCAGCATTTACTTGCGTTATCGTGAACATGACAAAAATGTTTCTGAAAAATTGTTTCGCGTGTATATAAACTGCTCGAACTACTGACTTAATACAGTCTTCGGTGTTGAGAAATTTAATTGTAGTCATAAAACAAAGAAGATTTTAGTTTTTCGATGTAACTGTTATGAAATAAACTTATTTAGTTGAGCTTGAAAATCAGATTTTTTTACAATAGTAATAATTATTTGTTTGTATTTGTATATCGAAGAAACAAAACGAAAATTATATAGTGAAAGCTCTCATTTTTCTACAGGGGAAAATACTCGAATTATGTTTTCGTAATTATTAGGTCTATAGCCCAAGTAGTTTTTTTCCAGGCAAATAATTGTTACAATCGAATGGTGTGGATTTATCCTCAAACAAAAAGATGACCAAAAATAAAGGCTATGTAACATTTTAGAGCAGCATATTTTTTAAAAATGTTTCAGAACAAAATCTAAAAGAAATGAATACTTTCCAAGACAATGATAATAATACCTGTCGATTATTGATCACTCTATATAATACATTTTTAAAAAAAATATATTATTAATTATCATCTCATAAGCATAACGTCATCGAATTTGCTAAACTACAGTTTTATCAAGTGGCACACCACTTGATAATTTTCAATGGAAAAATTAATCGACGATTTGTGTACTGACATAAGTACAAAAAAATTCATATTTTCCGAATATTACCTACGTATAATAAACTGTTTATATAATAATGCTCATAATTCAAACAAGTGGTTGTTTTTTGAACTCGAATTGATAATGTGAAACGTTTTTAAAAGCAATTTATGTCAGCCGAATGACATACTAGGTTGATCAAGGTAGGTTCTTGTTGAATACTCATATAATAAAAAGCGTTTTTAACTTTTTGGACTTATCCAAATAATAAATAACTTACTATACACCTGCTTATAACTTATAATAGACGTTTTATATTACGGCAGAACAGTTTATATATTATGTATAATATTCATACGCCAAATGCCAATTTTTAATTAATGTTTTTTTTATCTATTATATTCCTTTTCTAATCTTGCTTTCCGTTGTTCGTAATGCATTTTTTTTTTTGTGCTCTATGTGTAGATCGACTAATCCCTTTGAGGAGCATAACTGTCGACGATGCAGTATTCGAAAAATCAAAGATGATATGTATGCTTTATGTATATCTTATAATACCGTGTGTTTTACGTATGTCTTATACCATCCATGCACTGAAGTGTTGTACACAATATTGATTTCTTCGTCGGCAATTAAAACTAAACATTATCTTTACAATCATCACAAAAAAATACTTAGTTATCTATATACACATACTCATAGAATACATACCATTAACATAATAAGAATTTGCCCATGATAACCCAGTTAACTAATAATATTTGTTTTTGCATCTGTGTATTACCAAGGTAACCCATAAATACGAAAATCATTTTATCTTCGTGCCAAAAGTACCTAAAACCCGGTTTCTGTGAGTGATAGTGGAGATATTGATGAATTTGCATAGACGTACTATGTCAGAAACCTTCACGGGAGTGTACTCAACAACGTCCCAAAGTTTCATGACGATCGGATGAACGGTTTTGGAAGGCATAAGAGACATACCGACAAACATACATTTATACATTTATATGAACTATATAACATAAAACAGCAATGCATTTATTAGCATAGTACCAATAAGAAAAAATATTTGACTATAGTTATATGCACTTAAATATTTCGTTATAGGTATTTAATTTGATTTTATTTTGACGTTGACGGACGGACGTCTCTGTTTCTTTGATAATTTCGTTTATGTTTCCGGGCGTTTTTGACGGTGACAACCGCAGTAAATCGTCTACACGTAGAAAGATAAAATAAATAAGAACAACAAGATTAGACAAATATAAGTTATTGCGTTTATTAAACCCACAAAATAATTGTTTTGTTTTATTAACTCATTAGAATTTTTGATTTTAGTATGTTCAATTTAGTTTTAGTACTTTTAGTGCGGGTCACGTAAAGTGGTACCACTGGTCTATATAATATGGTTTATATATATAAAACAATTTAAACTTGGCAATAATATTATATGGTTATTAGTGTTTCCTCTACGCACACTATGCTGTGGAAAGAAATCAAGGGTCGTAAGGACAAACTAATCCTTCTCAATGTGAAATATTAAATTTACCACCAACACCAAGTGTCGTTTTTTAAAATGAGTATAAAAATTAAATAAAATATAGGACCTAGTTGTTTTTGTCGGATTCGTGTCCTGTTTGAGGTCCGGGCCCTAGGGCTACATCTGCTACTGTTCCTCCCTCTTGTCAGGCCAGTTTTCGTCCATAAAAACGGCCATACCAATTACCCTATTATGATAACAATAGATTAGTGAAAACAGTATTATTATTTAAGTATTCAATGTAAAAAATAATATTTGAATTTAACAATATAATAGAAAATGTACATATCATTTAACTCACTTAATATTATATTCGATCTTCAAACCGTATAATTGCTTTGCCAGATTTTCGAAAAAAAATTATGAAATTACTTTTTTTGGTTCTATATTTTCAACTAATAGTTTTACAAAAAATATTATTATTCCATTTTTGACTCACCCGCGGTAGATATAAATCTGAGCTCATTCCCCGACTGTTATTTTTTGTATTTGAACCTCACTAGTTTTCTGT